GAAATATCACGGCGATCCATCCCACGTGTTAGATTTCAGCACTGTCCAGTTGGACAAGGATTTTTCGTATGAGGAGGAGCTAGTGGCTATTCTAGACCGACAGGTTCGCCAGCTGAGGTCGAAGAGTTTTCCTTCGGTTCGTGTTCAATGGAGAGGTCAGCCCCCTGAGGCATCGACCTAGGAGTCTGAGTCCGATATGCGGGACCGGTATCCTCATATTTTTCCCGACTCAGGTACTTCCTTCTTCTGTCCGTTCGAGGGAGAACGATTGTTTTAGAGGTAGAGAATGTGACGACCCAAAAGGCTCATCACCTGTGTCTAATTGAAATCTGTGTCTCCAAGGCCCTGAAAACCTCATTTAGAGTTGCCTCGATTTGTGTGCGCAGTCCGGGCGCGTAGCCGGAAAGCTTAAATGTGAAGTCTTGTGAAAATTGCTAAGTTTTGACATCGAAATGAATAAATTTGACTTCGGTCAACATTTTAGGTAAACGGACCCGGACCCTTGATTTGACGATCCCGGAGGGTCCGTAGGAAAATATGGGACTCGGGCATATGCTCGAAATTGAATCCGAGGTCCCTAGCCCGAGTTATGAATTTTTAAGTGAAATTGTTCTCTAGAAATGTTTAAAGAAAATGGAAATGAAATCTGATTAGAAAGCAATGGTATTGGGCCCGTATTTTGGTTCCGGCGCCCGGTACGAGTCTTATATATGTTTTGAATCACTCCTGTAAAGTTTGGTAAAAACGGACGTCGTCTGACATGATCCGGACCCAAATTGGGAAAATTGATGTTTAAAAGGAAATCTGAGAAATTTCATGGATCTTGAGGCTCAATTCGATGTTCATGATGTTATATTGGTGATGTGATCACACGAATATGTTCATAGGGTGTTTTTGAGGTAGTGTGCATGCTTGGTTTAGAGTTTCGAGGGCTCGGGTGAGTTTCTAGTAGGTTCCGGGATGCCTTAGGCTTTAGAAGATCAGATGTTGCAGGTTCAGGAATTTTGACAGGTCTCTGAACCCTCTTGCGCGGTCCGCGAGGAATCACGTGCGGCCGCGGTCGCCTTGAGCGGTCCGCAATGGGTGTTGTGCGGCCGCGGTCGGCTTGGTATGGTCCGCACGGGGCAATGATCCACAGGTCTTCAGGGAGCCTGCGCGGCCGCGGTCCTTCTTGCGCGGTCCGCGGTGGGAACTTTAGAGGGGTATAAATACACGTGAATTTCAGTTATTTTACACTTTTCAAAACCCCAAAACATAAGAGGCGATTTTCCAAACAACTTTTCTTCTCCGAAACGATTGGTAAGTGATTTCTAACTTATTTTCTTCACTTCTTAACATCTTTTAACATGATTTCAACTTCAAATCAAAGATTTTCATGGGGAAATTGGGTGATGTGGGTAGAACCTAGGTTTTTCTAAAATTAGGGATTTGGACCTCAATTTGAGGTCCGATTTCAAAACAAACCATATATTTGAATTTGTGGGGGAATGGGTAATCGGGTTTTGGTCCGAACCTCGGGTTTCGACCACGTGGGCCCGGGGGTGAATTTTGACTTTTGGGTAAAACTTTGGAAAACGCATTTTCATGCATTGGGGTTGATTCATTTAGCATTTATTAATGTGATTAAGTAACTTATGACTAGATTCGAGCGGATTGGTGGTGGAATCAAGAGGTAAAGCTATAATTGAGACTTGAGTGGTGTTCAAGGCATCGAGGTAAGTGTTTGGTTTAACCCTAGCTTGAGGGATTAGGAGTTGAGTCATATTTGCTACTTTCTTCTTGTTGAGTACGACGTATAGGCATGGTGACGAGTATCTATACATTGATGTCAAGCATGATCGTGGGTCTTAACTTGAAAGTTGTTGTGGTTTTGAATGACACCTTGTATACTTTAATTAACGATCCTCTATGATTAAGTATTTCCATTAATTGATCTGAGTACTAGCAAAGTGAGATTGGTTATAGCTGATTCTCCCTTGCTGGGATGACTATTTCGATATCCTTGTTCCCTTGCCGGGAAGTTATTATATTACTTATGTTCCCTTGCCGGGATTTCTTGTGATTGTGTGATGAACTGAAATNGTGGTACGCCTACCACGAGATAGAATGAAATGGGAGCGGGTGGTACGCCTACCATATGATTTATGAAATGGGTGCGGGTGGTACGCTTGCCACAAGATATTATGAAATGGGAGTGGGTGGTACACCTACCACAAGATATAATGAAATGGGAGCGGGTGGTACGCCTACCACGAGATATGAGAAATGGGATCGGGTTGCACGCCTGCAATAAGAGGAAACTGAAAGTGAAAGTTGCCTTTATTTTCTTCATTTGTGATAGAAGTTAAAGTGATAGCTTCCTTATTATTCCCTGTTATTTCTTTTAACTGTTATCCCCGAAGCATGTTCCTCTTCCCCAGCTTTAACTTCTTATTACTTGTTTACTTTTCCGCCATATATTATAACTGTATACGTTTATCTGGAGTCTGGTCCTAGCCTCGTCACTACCTCGCCGGGGTTAGGCCAGACACTTACCAGCACATGGGGCCGGTTGTGCTGATACTACGCTCTGTGCTATTTTGCACAGATCCAGGTTTTGGACAGCAGCAGTAGCGCAGGAGCCAGCCTTCAGTCCAGTGAGACACTGAAGTAGCCTTGCAGGCATTCGCAGGCCCGGCATCTCCTCTATCTTTTATTTTCGTCTGTTATCTCATATATTCGAGACAAACAGTTTATATTTTCTTTCAAACGGTTGTATTTAGCACTCTTAGAAGTTCGTGAGTAACGTGACACCAGTTCTTGGGTAAAGGCATATGTTGATTCTCGCATTATTGTTCAGTTTTCTTTAAATTTAAGTCTTCCGCATATTTATTTAATTTCGTTGCTTTCATGCTATCGCCGATCATTGTTAAAAGAAGTAATTGTTAACGAAGTAAGCAGTTAAGGATTGGCTTGCCTAGCTCTCATTAGTAGGCGCCATCACGACTCCCGAGGGTGGGAAATCCGGGTCGTGACATTGTAACACTTAATTATTTGAAATAAAATACTACGATTGTTGCAATATTTTCGGTCTTGATTTTATTTTCTCAACGCAAATTCATTGTCTACAAATTTTGGCACGCCCGGTGGGACAATCTCTACCTCTCATCTTAACTTTTCAATCACCAAAGTCCAAGAACATTGAAATGGCTTCAAAGAAAATCAACTCCAAATCAACATCCACTAAGGCTGCTAATTCCAGGTTCTATGCTGATGTGGAAAGCATCCTCAATATCACCTTTGGAAGCTTCAGACCAGTTACGAGGAGCAAAGCAATCTCTTTAGGACAACAAACACCCCAAGTGACGTCCGCATCAACCCCTGTTTTCGGATCTTCATCCTCAAAAGGAGCAAGATCTTCCACAAACGCATCTGAAGGAGGAAGCGATGTTTTTTAAAAGATCAAGAAAACTCTTGCTCTCCTTGACCTCTCCGGATCCAAGCACTCTGCTGTGAAGGAAGATGATGATGCTTCAAGTGATGGATCCTCCCCACTTACACCACATAGTGTGAACCAATCAAGGATCAATCTGTGTGAAATTCAATGCTACTCTCCATCGTCCACGACAATCATACAAGCCATGGTGACAAACACTTCATCTATGGAGGAGAAATTGGCAAACTTGACGGAAGAAATCGCTGGCTTGACCAAATGCATGCAAAATCAAGAGACTAGAATTGACAAGCTAACAAACAGGGTGGGAATCTTGATGGAAGAAGAATCCACTCATGCACCCAGCAAACTCCCAGAAGTCCAAGAGATTGATCCTCCTCCACAACAAGTTGTATCCACTAAGGAAATTCCAGTCTCTTCGGAAGGGATGATTCCAATCAATCAACTAAAGGAGTTCATTAAAGGTACTATAAAAAATGAATATGAAGTCGTTTCCAAGTCCTCCTTTACCTACGCAAAGCCATACACTTCAAGGATCGATATGTTGAAGATGCATGCTGGCTATCAACCTCCAAAATTTCAACAGTTTGATGGCAAAGGAAATCCAAAGCAACATGTGGCGTACTTCGTTGAGACATGCAACAATGCTAGGACTTATGGAGATTACCTCATCAAGCAGTTTGTCTGCTCATTAAAAGGAAATGCTTTTGATTGGTACACAAACCTCGAGGCTGGATCTGTTGATAGCTGGGATCAACTAGAGCAAGAATTCCTCAATCGCTTTTATAGCATGAGATGCACTGTGAGTATGATCGAACTTATAAATACCCGTCAACGAAAGGATGAACCAGTTATCGAATTTATCAATCGTTGGAGGAATGCAAGCCTCAACTACAAATATAGGCTCAGTGAAGCTTCAGGCATAGAGATGTGCATCCAAGGCATGCATTGAGGACTGTGCTACATCTTGCAAGGTATCAATCCTGGCACATTTGAAGAACTTGCAACTCGTGCCCATGATGGAGTTGAGCATGGCCTCCACTAAAAATGAAAGGTTGCCAACTATGAACCTCGCAAAGGGAATGACAATCAAGAAGTCAGGAAGTGGGGCAAGTTCGTACCCAAGTCTGAAAGCAAAGAAGGTATGAATGTCAACACGTCACCTATGAAGTTCACGACGAAGGTGAGCAAGAAGCAGAGTATGAAATCCAATTCTTTTCAAGATAAGCCAAGTGGAAAGTTGACTCTAAAAGAAATGCATGAGAAAGAGTACCCATTCCTGGATTCTGATGTGCCAGCCATTTTTGAAGAACTCCTCGAGTTAAATCTTATTGAGCTTCCAGAGATGAAGCGACCAAATAAAGCTGGGAAAACAAATTACCCAAATTACTACAAATATCACCGACTTGTAAGCCACCCTCTGGAGAAGTGCTTTGTCTTCAAGGACAAAGTTATGGACTTGGCTCGCGAAAAGAAGATCGTGCTTGAAGATGAGAAAGCAAGCATAAACCAAGTCTCTATCACCTTTGGCTCATTCAATCCAGATGAATTATGTGGTTTTAAAGAAAGTAAAGATGAAGAATTACTGGAGAGCGACAAAGCTGAAGTCAATCAACCTGATGATGATGAAGGTTGGACATTGGTGACTCGTCATAGGCACCACAAAAGGAGCCCACGAAAAGAATCAATAGAATAACCAACAAGGAAAATGATGGTGAAAAGGCCAAGGAGATGGAATCCAGTTAAATATTTAAAGAAAGCAAAAGTGGAGGTGCACCATCCTCAAAAGCCACGACATCCAGTGACCTTGGAGGAGTTCTTCCGCACGAAGATTTCCTATGAGGGTATTGATGCCTTTTGTTGCCATCCTGACAAGGGGGAAGAAAAGAGTGATGATCTACCATTTGCACCATCTTCGGAAAAGACCATCGAGTCCACTCCTCAAGAAGTTAATGCTTGTGAGGAAAAGGTCACATTCACAAATGACGATCTTTTGCTAGGTGACACTCCTCATAACCGCCCATTGTACCTGGTTGGCTATATGCGCAATGAAAGGGTAAATCGAATTTTGGTTGATGGAGGATCCTTAGTGAACATTTTGTCAATCCACACTGTGAAAGAACTTGGTATTCCCATGAACGAACTCTCAAAAAGTCGTGTGATGATCCAAGGATTCAACCAAGGGGGGCAAAGAGCTGTAGGCACGATCAGGCTGGGAATCACTATTGAAGATAGCAATCAAGTGCATGGTTGCATGTGATCGATGCGAAGACTTCATACGATGTTTTGCTTGGGAGACCTTGGATACATGAGAATAAAGTAGGTTCATCTACCTACCATCAATGTTTAAAATACTCCGAGGTTAAAGTTGAGAAGAAGATAGTTGTTGATGATGAGCCATTCACCGAGGCAGAGTCACACTTCCCCGATGCAAAGTTCTACTTGCTGAGTATCAATCACTAATACTTGAGCTCAAAATGGCTGTCAAAATGAAGCGGTTGCAATTGCAAGTCTTTGGTGACTCTCAGTTAGTGGTCAATCAGATTTTAGGTAGTTACGAGGTCAAGAAGCCTAAACTACGCCCATATCATGATTACGCTAAAAGGTTAATGGGGTGGCTCATGATGTGACTATTCAGTATGTGCCAAGGAAACAAAATAAGAAGGCGGATGCTTTAGCCGCCCTAGCTTCATCTTTAACCTTGCCTGATCAAGCGCAAGTTGTTGTATGCCAAAAATGGGTAGTACCGCTGCCAAATAAGGCTGAAAGTGAAGAAAATGAACTCAAGCATCTTGTCACTATTTCTAAAGTCGAGAAAGAAGAATGGAGACAACCCATTATCGACTACTTGTGCTATGGGATACTTCCAAAAAATCCGCGGAGAAGAACTAAAATCCGTCGTCGTGCACCTCGCTTACTTTACTACAAAGATACCCTATATAGAAGATCATTCGATGGAGTACTCTTGCGATGCTTAGGGGAAGATGAAGCACTCCAAGATTTGTAAGAAGCGCATTTTGGGGTATGTGGGTCACACCAGTCTGGACCAAAGCTCCACTTTCACATAAAAAGAATGGGATATTATTGGCCAACGATGGTAAAAGATTGCTTGGACTATGCTCGAAGATGCAAGGCTTGTCAATTCCATACGAATTTTATTCATCAACCTCTTGAAGTGTTGCGCCCGACTATTGCATCCTGGCCGTTTGACGCTTGGGGATTGGCTATTGTTGGACCACTGCCAAAGTCCTCTGGTGGGCACCTATATATCTTGGTTGCAACTGACTACTTCTCAAAATGGGCTGAAGTTGTTGCTCTTAAGGAAGTAAAGAAGGAAAATGTTGCAAGTTTCATCCGAGTAAACATTATTTATCGCTTTGGCATTCCTCGTTACATAATAAAGGATAATGGAAAGCCATTCGATAATAGGCTGATGAACAAGATTTGTGATCTCTTTGGCTTCAAGCAACGTAACTCTTCGATGTACAATGTTGTCGCTAATGGTCTAGCTGAGGCATTCAACAAGACTCTATGCAACTTATTAAAGAAAGTCGTCTCCAAATCCAAATGAGATTGGAATGACCATATGGAAGAAGCTCTATGGGCATATAGGATGACTCACCACACACCAACACAGGCGACTCCTTATTCACTCGCTTATGGAGTCGAATCTGTCTTGCCACTTGAGCATCAGATACCTTCGTTACGACTGGCTATTCAAGAAGGGATCACTGATGAAGAAATGCTTGACTTTGATTAGCAGAGTTGGAGGCTCTCGATGAGAAAAGGTTGGAAGCTCAACAGAGTCTTGAATGTTATCAAGTTCGATTATCTCGCACCTTCAATAAAAGAGTTCGCCCGAGATCATTTCAGGTAGGAGATCAAGTCCTTGCCGTACGAAGACCCATAATTACTTTCCATAAACCCGTAGGGAAGTTCACTTCAAAATAGGATGGGCCATGTGTCGTATAAGAAGCTTACTCAAGTAGGGCTTACAAGTTGGTTGATGCAGATGGCATGAGAATCGACGCTATCAATGGCAAGTTCTTAAAGAAGTATTATCCTTGAAGTTGCAACGCTCCTTGACGCATGAGCCTAAACTGCATGTTGCTACACTCCTGGAAAAAACCCTAGAATCTCTCTAAATATAGACATTCACCATAAATAAAATTCTATTTATAACACTTCCCCTTGAATATCTACTCGACAAGTAATGTGCCTCGTTAAAACCTTAACTAAATAAAACCCAATGGAAAAAACATTTCTAGAGAAGGAAAAAAGAGTACACATATCTAACAATACGCCTTTTGGTTGCCTCATTAAAAATCTTGTAAGGAAAACCTAGTGGGACAAAACCTTATGAGGAAAAAAGAGTACAACGCGTATTAACTCCCCCTGATGAGAGCATCAATTCACGTCCTTGAGCCTTCGCATTCCAATCTTGTGCACTAGCTTCTTGATTGTTGATGTCGGCAGAGATTTGGTGAATAAATCAACCATATTAACTCCAATGAATATGTTGCACCTTGAAAATTCTCGCTATCACATTATCATGCTTATAGTTATAGCAAGATACAAATGTGCACAAATTGCACTAAGAAAGTGGTACTTAATGTCAAGAATTGTATATGCTTTAAGCAACTTAAATCCTTCAGGGATTGTCATATAAGTTAAGTCATATAAGCCATCTAAAGAGACTTTAGATGTATATCAAGTTTTCATGTCATGCTAGACATATAAGATATCGAAAACTGATTGCACATACCATTGACTTTATACTTTCAAGTATTTGAGCAACATAAACAAAATTATATGTCTTTTATATGAAACCAATTCTATTTGAATTGTGTATCGTCTATTTGGCCAATATTTTTGTATCTGTCTCGACAGCCTTAAGATCCCCATCTATACTTAGCGCTATGATAGATGTCGTCGACGAACATTTTATATCGATTCCAATATTTTTTCATAAAGACATAACATAGAGATCTCTTCATTCATATATTCAGGTACCTGAATCTCTCATAAGATTTTATGAAGTGTTATGTCATGTGATTTTCTAGATCACTTGCCTCCTTATTATAATCACTTTGATCATTTGCTCATCTTCTTTATCAAGAAGTTCTATTTGAAACCGATTTGTCTATACGCTTTAAGCGTACCACAGACTTTGTCCTTCTAGGACTTAATATGAGCATTTGCAATGAGAATATAATTACTTTCTTTGGGTCAGCAAATGCGTATGGAATGCTTTGCAATATATTGCAAATGAATTATCCTTTTATGAACTTCAGGTTCATATTATCCTATTCGAGGATCTATATGTATAAATAATAATTCATTCCATGTAACTTTTTTCTCAACTGTTGTATCTTGTCTCCCCCTCATGTTAGAAAAACTAACTTGCTTCCTCAACTTTGGAAATCCATCTTTGTGCATTATGGTGTTAATGAAAATATACACCGCACATCAATAATAATAAGATGAAATTATTTGGTTCCTGACCCTGATCCACTTGTGAGGGGAGAATGCAATATACTTTCGTATATAACATATATCAAATTGATATATATAACTTTGTTCTTATAAGCAATAGTTTAGCTATTAAGTGGAGGCACTCAATAAATTATTTTGCTAAACCAACTGTGATGTAAACCAACTTATCAAGATAAACTTTCTTGAGTAGAAAATCTGGAAATTATGCTCGAAATTAAATTATTGAATAAGTTACCTCGCAAAACATCATATTGGGGGTTAATAATAATCGCACATGTAACCATCTCATAGATGCATCTTATGTGGTATACATGGCAAGTGAATGGGCCCATATTCACTTTTGATATTTCCAGCGTTTATGGGATTCAATCCCAATTTTAGTTGGTCTATTAATTAATGAGAACAAGCAACCTAGGAGAATTCGTAAAGAACTTTCTAGTTCTTTAATGTTTACTCATATGAATTCTCTTTTATTTTTGCACAACATACTTAAATTGATATGACTAAACCAGCTATGCTAACTGGATATCAATAAACTCCAAGTTTATTATAATATGAGTTTTATATCAATAAAGTTCTACTTTATTGTGGCATTCTTTTATTTGTGTAGTACAAACTGAAGAATAAAGCGGGTAAATTTTCACATACATATTACCCCGCTACAAGTTGTAGTAATAGAAGATATTAAATCTTTCCTTTATTTATAGTCTCAATATAATCAACTGTTTTCGCGTGTACTTTGGAAACTGAATAAGTTTCTTTGAGACTTACTACAACACAATACCTTATTGGTAATCAATTGTGTTTCTCCAAAATAGTATAATTGGCTCTTGCAGAGTTCTCAATTAATTTTGTACTACCACATATTCATCAACATCAATATGGTGAATATCTCTTTTAAAGAGAAAGTTATACCATTATGGTTATGGTCAAAATTATATGCAAGATATGTTTCTTGCATTAATGTTATTCTTTCATAATCGCATTACCAAAATATTTTGGTGTGCAATAGGTACGTAACCAATGATCATTCATACCATAATAATGACATTATTTTCTTATATCATCTCAAACCTCCTTCTAGAGGTGAGTGTGGTATACTCACTACCACTAGCACGTTCACATTCTTCCAAGAATGAATATGTATTCACAAATTAGATGTTTTCATATTCACATCATGAATGGACCACAATCATCTATATGTGCTTTATAAAATCTCATGTCAAATCGATGACAAATATTACTTTTACAAAGTGAATAATTATTTTGAGAATCCTTATTGTTCTCATTACCACAATGATGACGATTATAATTTCGTCTATTGCCACGTCCACATCCATTAATACATTCATAGTAATAATTTTTGTCTTTTTTCAAACTTATCACATACTGCTATCACATTCTCTAAAGGGAATGAGAATGGAGCAAATTCAATGGGATGGGTTTTCAATTCTTTGCCCACAATCATACATGAATTTGATCATGACAAGGCATAGAAATTTTACCACTTTGGGTGATTATAATATCTTTCAAACTCCACTAGAGTTGCAATCAAAATTTATCGTCTTTGCTTGTATTTAAAATCAAATTATAGAATGTCAAGAATTTGAAAGAGAAAAGTAAAATACTTACCTTAAATCCGGAATTTAATCATGAAGGAAGTTCATAGAATAATTTACAATCATTATGCTCAATCCCAAAGCTTCTACTCAATTGGTTAGAGTCTCGTGCTGATAACGTGTTATGAAACAATAAAAGAAGAAGAGTATTGCAGAGAAAAAGAGAGAGGAAATTCTTATTGAATTTTGGGATGATTTACAATGGAATAGAACCCTCTATTTATAGGGAGAGATTGACTTAGCCACCAAGTAATAAACCCTAGAATCTCTCTAAATATAGACATTTACCATAAATAAAATTTTATTCATAACACTTTTTACAAAGTAGTATTTTTGTATTTTTAGGATTCGAACCTTAGACCTTTAGTTAACGGTGAAAAAATCTTATATTCATCCCAGCACAATACTGGTGAAGGATGGGTTAAGTTCAGTGTTTTAAAAGGCGGGGCATGAGGCGAGGCGTTTTGTCTCTGACGAGGCGAGACGTAAGCCCGGAGACATGGGGCGTAAGTCCCACGAATCTTTAAATTTTACTAATTTCAAGAATTTTAAGATAGTATAAAATAATTATAAAAATTACATTAAAATCACAAAATTATGACAAATAATCTATTTAAAATATTTATAAATTATAATTCAACTATACGAAAAGTATGACATATATCATAATATGCAAATTAGCTGCAACGTCGTTACAACTCAAACATAAAAAATAATGTATTCAATACTAAATCTTATATGTATCGCCTAAGAAGTAATGAATCTTGAAAGAATTTCGATAATATAATTAGATATTTTTCTTAAAATACTCCTTTTATTTAATATGCTTTCTATTTGAAAGAAAATTTATATAAAAATGTAATTCACAATTTAAATATGATTCTCTAGCATCGCTTATTTTTAAGTCTCAACAAGTTAATAAAGTGACACATAATTCACCATACAATACCATGATAAGTAATTTTTTGTAAATAGTTACTGGCTAATACTGAGCTATTAAGTAATAAGTATTGTATCTCATATTATAAAAAAATTATGGACTATTATATAATAAAGACATAACAAAATTTCATAAATATATACTTTTTAAATGAAAGATTTATTTAAAATTAACTATCATAGCAGTCTTAGTGGATAACATGCAATAATTTTTATTTTAATTATGACATAAAATACTCGCAACTCAATGATTTATGATTAATAAAAAAGTAATTTTGAATAGTCAACGATTTATAAAGAAAATTTGAGGATTTACAAGGTTAGTTACATATAATTGCATAAAGTTTTATTAGGCGAGCGCAGTACGCTGGGCGTTGGACGTGCCTGGGGCATAAGCCCCGATGGCCGAGGCGTAAAGCTCACGGAACTAAGTCACACACATAAGCTCAGGGGCGTTTTACGAGTGCTCCGCCCCAAAGCGAGCCTCGGGCGAGTCCCAATTCTGCCTTTTAAACCAGAGGTTGAGTTAACTTCTCTGGTTAGCGGTGAACTAGCCCCATTCCTTATCCGTAGGTGATATTTTTTTTCATTTCAGTTGTAGTACATTATTAGTAAGACAACTGTACTGTTTAATCTTTGAGGTGGTTCATGTGTCTCACTTCAGATCCTTGCTTTCGTGGTGTACTCAGTTGTTGATTAGCATTCAGTTATATTTATGATTAATATATAAATGGCAATGTTATTGACTTATTGTGTTGTTGATGAATGAATTAAAATAAGCACAGATTATGCATCCAAGGATGTGGCCTAATGGTCAATGAAGTGAGTTGAGAACCATTAAAAAAAAAAATCGTTCAAATTCAGCGGAGGCAAAACACTAGGTGTTTTCTTTCTATTTGTCCAAATCTTGATGAACAAAGTTCTCTGGATACTTGTACTGTTGGTAAACAATAAGTATCCTATGAAATTAGGCGAAGTGCGTATAAGTAGGCCCAGATACCACGGCTATTGTTTGGTTTTGGATAGCCATACATTTGGCATGCTTAAGCGTCAGTACCTAAGACAAACTAGTTGAAAATAAGCTGTACAAATATACTATAATGCCAGTGAATTTATCCAACAATGATTGACGAAATCTTGGTCAACCTTTTATCTTTCTTTTTTTCTTTTTTATAATTAACTTTTTCCTGATCAACCTGTTTTAGAAATCAATTAAATGCAAATTGGAGCGAGCTGAATTTAGATCATTTCCTATCTTCATTTCAAACCAGGATATCATCAAAATATGTTCCTGATCTTAATGACCCAAAATAACAAGAAAAGATTTACTTTCCAGCAAAAGTATTAAGTTACAGAACTTACAGAACAGATGCTACTATCTTAGCAGCTACTGTTAGAACTGCATGCATATATTGATATTCTCACTTATAAATATGCCGGTGCGTCGAGGACTTTTCAGAGAAATACAAACATCAATTCATAACATTATGCAGCAACCAAGAAACAAAAATTATCATGATTTACATTCTGCACGAAATCATTCGCATGCTGGTTTCGTGTCAAAGCTGCTCAAGCAGATTGCGAAAGCTTGGAAGGCAGAAAGCGGGTAGCAGTAATCCATGGTGAAGATGTCTTTTCCGATTTTGCCAAATTGCAATATTACTGTTTCTTGTACTGCAGCTGGTATATTCTGAGAAGGATCAACTGCTATCGCTAGCTGAAAATTTTTCACAGACGCCACTGTAACACGGCCTTTAAAATTTAGGCACCAGCACTGCAATTGTTCATGCCATCTAGGGGCCTTGTTTTTTAGCACGAGTGGCTCTCGAGAAGGCACTGACACTTTTGAGGTTGAAAAGCCAGGCGAGCTGATATCTACAGTTGGCTCCTTCGTTTTTGAGACTGATGGGGGAGATGATTTCTCGACAAAAGATTGTGGGAATGATTTAGGTGCTGGAGCGCTGCCTCCCTCTTGAATAGAGGAGAAAGGGATAGAATGCATGGCGCAATGCATTCTCCTAGGTCCTCTTGTTCGGAGAACATTGAGTTCATAGTTAATGGCGGCGACACTGTAGTTGCACGCAGGTACTGTCGGGGATACTTGCTTCACGTTGAATCGTCGACTAAGTCGACCGCGATGTTGAATTGCTGCATCACTTGGGGGTTGGCTATCATATACGGTGAACTTGGTCCCAAGAAAGTTAGATCTGGTCAAATTATTTTGTAAACTATTAAGACAAAATGAAAGGAAATAGAAGCTTTTCTTTTTTCGACATTCTGAAGGTTTAAGCTATAGAAATATAAAATAGTTTGAGGATGCTCGCCTCAGTTTTCCAACACATGTACTGCTAGCTCGAGAAAAATCGTCCGCAACAAATGAAATTACAAAGTCTGTGCTTGTTGCCCTTCTGGTCCTTTTGGCAGCCAGCAATAGCTTATCGCTTTCATCCTCAGCTGTCATGAAGTAACACATCGGATGTGAGAACATTAGACCACTAACACTAAGAAGAAGCTATAAAAAAGTTCCGCTCTCGTTCTGCATATTAACTTGAACAATGTCTTCTATCAACCTAAGTATAAGTTATCCATCAAAATATAACAACAACATACCCAGTATAATCACACATTGTGGGGTCTGGAGAGGGTAAAGTGTACGCAAACCTTACCCCCAAGGTTGGTTTTTTTTTTGGNAAAAGTTATCCATCAAAATACCAATCAAAAGTTATCCAACAACATAAACGTCATAGAAACTTATAATCTTAGCTTCATTGATAGGTTAAATTCACAAGGTGGATTTTGAAGCTGGTTCCAAGGCAGTACAAGCATAGAACGGGGAGTGGGTAGAGAGGCTTTTTCCGAAAAGTTATCCATCAAAATACCAATCAAAAGTTATCCAACAACATAAACGTCATAGAAACTTATAATCTTAGCTTCATTGATAGGTTAAATTCACAAGGTGGATCTTGAAGCTGGTTCCAAGGCAGTACAAGCATAGAACAAACTCGTAAATTTAGAAGACAAATTTCGTTCACTGATCAGCTATGTAGGTAGATCTTAAAGCTGATTCCACGGCACACAATCATTGAAGATGATCTGGTAATATTCAAGTGTCAAAGAACAAAAGGAGCAAGGTCAACAGAAACGTGTGACTTACATGGAGTCAAACCAAAGTAGAGGCGATAAACAGAATTGGCTCTGTCCCGTTTAATAAAGCAATGAATTGGGGATTCACGGGGACCCGGCTGTTCCAAAGAAGAAAAGGAAAAAGAATGATCTCTCGATTTTACTTTTTTGTAATTGGCAATAGGAATAAGATAATCGTCGAACAGATTAAGGCGAAAGAATACCTGCTTCAGTGAAATGGGGAAAGTAAGCCTACCACATTCCTCGGGAGTCTTGACAATTTCTTTAGTAACTTCCCTCCATGACTTACAAACAGAAGCACAAAAGACTACAACGGTCCGAGCAGGCCACGATGTCTCACTCTCTTCAACCCTGCGGATAATATCCAATAGCAATTCTGATGGTAAATTTGCCCATTGGCCTTGTTGATCGGGATCAAAATGTGACACATCAGGTGCTATATGTGATCGGGTTCTGTTTCGCCAACGCCTTCCGTCCATTCCCCTCCTTGATATACTCCCTATCCCATCTTTCATCTCCCTCAGCTCACGGAAAATGCTCTTAACGACATCTCTATTTATCACATTAACAAGCGTTTCCTACAATGGAATGGCAAAAAGTTTAGAACAATCAAAAAACAATTAGAACAGTAAAAAGGGCAGCCCAATGCACTAAGCTCTCGCTATGAGCGAGGCCCGAGGAAGGGCAGGACCACAAGGGTCTATTGTACACAGCCTTACCCTGCATTTCTGCAAGAGTCTATTTCCACGGGTCGAACCAGTGACCTCCTGGTCACATGTAAGCAATTTTACCAGTTACGCCAAGGATCCCTTTCAACATTTAGAAGGGTGAAAATGAGAATTACTTTGGCCCCGTTCAACGATCATGTTCCTGTTTATCAAGAAAAACTTTCAAGAATTTACCCCTTTTGACTACATACACTGTTTTTAACTAGCAGATCTGACACTACTAGGTTTAGCCTCTATTAGTCAACGATCAACTGTGCCTTAATCCCAAACAAAGTTGGGGACGGCTAGATGAATCGTCTACACCGTTTCGCTCTATTTGGGTCCAAATCCCTCCAATGCACATGAGGGGAAAGAGTCTATTTGCTCAATTTCTAGCACAGCTCTAGAATAAAATAATTACCCCATGATGAGCATTGAAATTAAGTGAAAAAATAGATATTTTCTCCATCTCTAGCACAGCTCAAGAATAAAAATCAAAACTTTATTAGGAAATCAACTGATCCCAATACAAAAATTGAGCAAAAATAAAACACTCACAATTTAAAATACCCATCTCCACAAAGGCAAGTAGATATTTGCACAATTTCTACCACAGCTCAAGAATAGAAAAAATAAAAAATTAAACTTTATTAGAAATTAAATTGTTCCCTGTTCCAAATTCAGCAATAATAATACACCCACAAAGGCAACTTAATACAAAATAGAAATAGAAAAATGGGGCTCAGATCTTTAACATGAAATGAGAAGAAAGACAAAAAAAAAAAAAAAAAAAAAAAAAAGGAGAAAAAGGCCATAAAAATGAAAACTTTAAATCCGGAATGAAAACTTTAAACAGAAAACAGAAAGAAAACACCAACAAAAAACAAAAATGGGTCTGAAATAGGGGTAAGAGAAATAAGAAGAAAAAAGTACCTGAGAAACGGGTTGCGAAAAAATTATAATATTTGATGAGAGAAAGCTCAAGAATGTAGAGATCTCAAGAACGGTAGATTAGTTATTTTCCATTCTGAGGGTTCTCACATCGCCGGAAACCGCCAGTGGCACCACCAACTCCGCCGTAATATCTGCCAACCCAAGTTGAAAAGCTTTCCTACGTGGTATGCAGCAAAAAGTTGAAAAGCAAAAATTTTCCCTTTAAGTCAGAGACTTTGAAGTTTGAACCTAGGAACTCCCCTCATTATTATTCTTTTTAATCCACTACTAGTATTATTAGCCGCGTACAAACCTTTGATTTGAGTTATTTGATTTATGTGTAAATAACTTTAAAATATTAATCTTTCAGATAAAATTTATATATAATTATTAAACAAATATTAATAAAAAATAGAAATTTCTCAAATCTCTTAAAATTACTCATAATTTCTTGTCCATAATGCATTACCCATAACTTAAAATTATCATAGTCTTGTCCGTTACTTCCATTATAATACATTATAAATAAAAATATGTTTTTTTTCTTGTAGTAAAATGTTTTATTTACTTTTATTCTTTTGATCTATTGTTCATATTAATTTTTAAATTTATCATATTTTTTATAATACCTATATTCTTATCTTTATAATTAATTAAGATAAAGGCGTTATTTTTATCTTTCAATTTATTTATTTTTTAGATTTTATTAATTAAGATAGGGCAGACAATATTTTTACAAAAATATTCACTTTCTTTTCATTCAGATTCAAAAAAAAAAAAAATTATTAGTATTAATATTATCTAAATTGCCAAGTGATTTTATAGTAGTTTGTCACGTGGCTTAACCACAATGCAAATTTTATTCATTATTGTTTAAAATACTTTCTCTTCTCAAAATTCAAATAAGTCTTATTCTTCCAAATATTTCTACGTTAAAATTATTTATTTATACATATTTTTCTCTTTTTCTTTTAATTTTTTAAATTATGTTGTCCATATTAATGTTTAAATTTATCATATTTTTTATAATACCTATATTTTTATCTTTATAATTAATTAAGATAGAGGCGTTTTTTTAATCTTCCAATGTAATTTTTTTTTAAAATTTATTAATTAAGATACGTCAGACAATATCTTTACAAAAATATTTACTTTCTTTTCATTGAGATTCGAAAAAATATGTTTTAATTTAAATTAAGTATTAGTATTAATACTATCCTAAATTGCCAAGTGGCTCTATAATAGTTTGTCACTTGGCTTAATATAATATATATAAACACTCACACACACACTTTCTCTTTTCAAAAATCAAATAAGTCTTATCCTTCCATATATTTCTACATTGAAATATTATATATATATATATTCTCTTTTCTTTTAATTTCTTGTAATAATTTATACACACATATATTCTCTTGGAATTTAGTTTATAAATTTTTTGATTTTCCCAGAAGTTAACAATATTACAAAAACTCAATGTCAAATTAGGAAAAAGAATGTAGTCTTCAAAAAAAAAAACTTTCGATGTTACCCTTTCAAATATATATATTTCTTGCAAATAACCCTTTTAAATGCCTAAAATTAAAGCGACAAAGTAATTTTAATAGGATTTGCAATATCCCATAACTTTAAGCATTTATTAGTCCAATTAAAAATGAAGATTTTTCAAATCTTCGAATGTGATACAAAACTAATACATTATATTTTCTTCTTATCCTTTTAACTTTATCCTAAGTCTTTCCTAAATTATTATTTATTTTGTCTTACTTTGCTATGTGTCTTATTCTTAAGACGCCACTTTATTTTATATTTTAACACACTCCAAAGTATAAATAGTCATAAATTGTCTCAATTACGTCTTTTTATATTTTTTATTTAGTTTCTATTATAGCTTTTCAATTAATTTTTCACCTCCATATTTCCAGCTAATAAAGAAAATCTATGTGTGGATCAATATATAGATACAAAATATAGATATAGATGTAGATATCAATATACATATAAATATAAATATAGATATATAAATAAAATTTGTCTAAGATCTATTTAGATTATGTATAAGATTAATTCAACTACTTCCATTAATTATGTTTCCATCTATAATTTTTAATTATTAATGTTGTCTTAAAATTGCCAAGTGGCTTCATTTTAGTTTGTCACTTGGCTTAACCACAATGCATACTACCTCCTTTTAATATAACTAGTACCAGTACCCGCGCGATGCGCGGACAAATCATTTCAAATTGCGATGTAGGTTGTTTGAATCATGTACAAATAATATTAAAATATAAACCTCTCAGATAAAAATTATATAACATGAGAATTTAATTATGAAACATGATATGAAATTATTGTTAAAATCTCGTAGTGAACAACCAATCTTTTTAATATATATTTGTAGCAACTTAACCCCTTGATTTTGGTACTTGTATTTCGTTCTACTATCGATATTAAAGAATACTAAACATGTCATATTATGATATATCTTGTTCGAGCACATTAGATCATATTATCTTAACAAAATTCTTATTATCACTTTATTTTTATCTGGAAGTCAATATATCTTATTCATCACATCCTTTTACATAAATTCTTTTTTTGTTCTTTTCTTATAGTAATTGTATTATTTAATATTTAATCATAATATTTTAATTATTTAAATTTATCAGTAATATTTTTAAATATAATTTAATTATTTTATCTTATATATTTTTAAATTAATTTAAAGTATAAGTATCCTCACACTACCTCTATTTTTTTTATGTACATTCTCTTCCCTACTATAAATGTTAATTAGTTTTTATATTAATGTTTTACTTAGAGCCAAAATAATGTCATATTTTATTTTAAATTGTAACTTTTAATTAGTCTAAAATATTAATACAAAAGTTATTTGATTATCATGTTCCAAATATATTGAGTTCTCTTATAATTAATTTTGTATTAGATGCAGTTAAATATTCTTTCTTTTTTAGCTATAAGATACAATTTAATTTTTAATTTTCATTAGTAAGATTACCAATATTATAAATTTATTTGTATTTTTAAAATTGTATTTAATCATAGAAAAAAATTTCTTAATTGTTTGAACACATTATTTTTAAATATTGTAGTAATATTTTTACTGTCATTTTAGTTCTTTAAGTAATATTTTAAAAAACAAAAAAATAATCTCATCTCAAATTCAAATAATTCTTATCATTCTATTTTCTAAAATGGACTGCATTTTAAAAAAAATTATGCTATGCATTCAAACTCAAACTAACTACACTCGATTCAGATATTAATCATAGAAAAATATTTTCTTAATTGTTTGAACATATTATATCTAAATGTTGTAATAATATTTTCACTGTCATTTTATATCTTTACATAAAGCTTCTTTCTTTTTTAGTTTTAAGATACAAATTTAATTTTTGTAAAATTACCTATATTAGAAATTTATTTTGTAATTTAAAATTTTGATTTTTTGTTATTATTTTATTTTTCATAAGTAAGACTACAATTTCGTGGTATATCCATAATTTGAGCATTCACATCATAGTTTTAAGAACTTTCTAATCTCAAATTCAAATAGTGTTTTCTTTTAATTTCTAAAAGTAAATTCTGATAATTTAACATAATTTTGCTATTTTTTTAATCTAATATATAGTCTTACTACATTTTATGTGGCTTTTCGTTAACTTGTAAATTTATTTAATATCATTATCAACTAATTTTCTTTAATAATATAAGATAAATATATAATTTTTTAATTATGATTTTGTTTTTATTACACGAAAATTTTAAATTATTTAAAATTTAATAATATTTTTAAGTATTGTATATTTATTTTATTTTATTTTCTAAACTTATGATTTATAAATGTCCTTACATTATCTCTAATTTATTTTTATTGTTTAATTTTCTTAATTTTTGATTTTAACTGCTTATTAGACTTGAGTTATGTGGACTTATATTATGACTTTTCTTAGTATAATATAAAAAACTTTCTCATCTCAAATTTAAATAAGTTTTACCCTTTTTCCTATGATAAATAATCTGAATTTTTAGTTTTTCTCTATTTATTATTTTATATTATTCAATACCTAATATTATTACATTGTCATGTGAATTTTTACTAGCCTGTTTGAATTTAGTATCTATTTTTACCACACTCATTCTAATATAATATAGATAAAAAAATTAAAACTTTCTCATCTCAAATTCAAATAATTTTTATCATTCAATTTTCTTAATTGGACTATATTTTCAAAATAATTATGTTATACTTTCAAATTTAAACTAACTGAACTTAATTCAAATATAATCATAGAAAAATATTTTCTTAATTGTTCAAACACATTATATTTAAATGTTTTAGTAATATTTACATATAAAATATTCGTTTGCACGATCTATCAGTATTAATATGAATTTATTATTCTTGTTATTAAAATATCTTTTGTTAATTATTTATTTTTCTCTTACTTTATAAATAATTTGTATACTTTGTGTAAGATCTTATTTCGCTGCTTGAAATTATTTAATTGTTAAACTCAATAAATCCTTAATATCTNGTTTTATTTTTAACATTTTTGTGCCCTATTTTGTATATTTTTTATACTATGATGTTTTGATTAGTTTTCCTCATTTATTTTTTTATCTAATGTTTTAATATTTTTTATTTTGTATTACGTCAATTAACGATATTTTTTCTATTTTATTTTAATTATTGAAACTTTCTATATGAGAAATTTCTTTATATTTTTAACATTTCACTATGTTGCTCAGAGGACTTTTATTATTACATATTTTTATTATTGACTTTACTTAATGAGATTCGAGATATGTAACATTATTTATTTTATATCGTTACTCTTCACAAATCAAAAATAACTCCTTATCTCAAACTAAAATAAGTATTATTCTTTCAACCTTTTAAACTATGTTAGTTCGTTGTTGCATTATGCAATACTTAGTCTAACTCTTAAATTTAATTTGTTTTCACACTCTTATTTTATAGCTAGGAATTCATTGATTCAGTAAAATTCAATCGGTTGAGAAGGCAAAAAAATGGTAAAAAGAAGAATAAAATTAAGTTTAGCCATGACAGAAAACACAACATAATTTTTGTTTAAAAGTAATTTAATCTTTGTTTTTCTAAATGTTCAATTTTTTGTAACTATTAAATTACTACTATTTAAATAAATAAAAGTAGTAAAAAAATCTGCATAATTGTATTCTTGGCATACCATACAAATAACAT